TATAAATTGCCACGTTTTATGCTTCAACGTTCTGCAACTTTTGATCCATTGTTTCCCGAGTCACGTACACTATCTACATTTCAACGTGACGTCAGAGAGTCAGTCAATCGCTCAGTCCCTGACAAAAACCAATTTTCCCCTTTGTGTTGGAGATTACAGTTTAGCCCTGCTACAATATAACTAGCTTAGTAAAAATTTATACATTATTACATACATTTTTCATAATACAAAAAGCTAATATACCACTAATCTGCAATTTATATACATGCCATTTTGTTCCTGACCAGATTTAACCGATGGTTCAAATAAATCTTACGAAAGTAGAACAGGAAATAGACAGAGCGCGTAGTTGCCAAATTGACCTCAACGTAACTGTTCAATGTCGCGACGCGTGTTGTAGATTCGTCTTAATTCAATTAATGCATAATGAGAGGGAACCAATCGCGGAGGCGCCTGGGATGACGCATACGGAGACAAAACGTTCGCGATAGAATCAATCTTGTCCCTGTATCTAACACAGTACCGGTTGGCGGAATGAGAAGATAGAGAGAGCGGTTTGAGATAGAAAGACAGTGATCGAGTATTTCGCTGGTAGTTTCGGTGTTTCAAATGCTTGAATATGTCCAGAAATCTCACTGTAGTTGTATAGGTTGGTATTAGGGCACCCCTTTTGAGATGGAACGAACCAAAAATCCTCTGTAGCTTCTGTGTGCCGTACTTTCCGACGCAAAGCGCCCCACTTTGAGAAAAACACACGTCTGTAAAGCTTTAATCTCAGTTACGTATACATGCATAGTGCAAGACTGAAGCTCAGCTCACAAAGGTTTCGTGTCAAATGCACCTTTACGAATAAACCGTACGTTCGTGTGTAACACAGGACGGGGTTAGGATCTTGTCGTTTTCATATGATTGTGTGGTATGTGTAACATTATATGTTTTTAAATTCAGGAAGACTAGTTGCAATTTGCAGTCGCTTTTGTAGCTAATGAATATCCCAAGTATTATTACACCTGACGTTAACCGTCATTACAGTAACACTACGTCTACACCGGGCGTGTCAGTAACAGCATGGTGACGGCTGGAGCGGCGAGGGGGTTGGAATCCCGTGAAATTGGACAGCTTTAGGATAAATGTGTACCATAGGCGTATCACTCAGCGTCTGGTCACGGTGAAAGTCAAGTCGTCCTCAGTCCCCCTGGTTAATTAGATCGATGACGCCACGGGTGTCCTCAGGGAACGGTCCTCGGGCCGTCACGTCCTTCATGACAGAATTCTAGGTCATCAAAGTAGTTATTATAGCCTAATGATAGTCATGTTGTCGTCTGTATATTGAACGAGTATAATTTACTTATCTGCATGCATACACAATACGTCTCTGCTAAATGATAAGAACTGTATACATGACTAAGTCGTTTAGCGACGGCATATGCATCAATGTTTTTATGTGTAAAACTCATAAGAATCCAATCAGACCTTCTTGAATTATCCTATTTCAAAGTTTCATACAAAGATACGTCTGCAGTTCCAGGAAAACTGCTAGGGGTCCAAGCCAACATTTCGTATTCCCAAGACTATTAGCCAATCAAAATTCGTGACCATAGCATGTCCTTAACATGAAACTCTTGTGACAAAATTATAACAATACATATTCAGTACACGTATCTGTAACGACTTTTCTTATCGTTCCACACATTCAGCACATGAGTGCGCCTTGTCTGTGTGTGAAATCTATTCAATTAACCTTTAAACCTCAGGTATAATCACGTATTCCTGGCCTTCGCCTTGGAACGGCGAGCCTGGTCAGCCGTGACGGTCACACGGTGTACCCCGTGCCCCCTGTTCTCTCACGTAACGTAACCATCTTATTCAGACACTCGGGCTCTCATTGCAATCAGTGGTAGAAATTTAAGCAGAACGAACGTCAACGTAGTGCGCCCTATAACCCGTATGCCCCTTATGCCTATCCCACAAATGCAAATCTTCGAAATTCCTTATTCCTCGTGCATATTCCTCGTGTGTCTATCTTCATTATGTCTAACTTTCTTGTGCCTATGTTAATTATGACCTCCTTCCATGTGCCTATCCCGCTAATACCTATCTTCCTTACGCATATTCCTCGTGTGCCTATCTTCCTTATGTCTAACTTTCTTATGCCTATGTTCCTTATGACTACCTTCACGTGCCTATCCCTTTATGCCTACCCCATATGCCTATCTTTCGTATGTGTACTTCCATATGTCTATCTTCCCTATGTCTAACTTTCTTATGTCTATGTTCCTTGTGACTACCTTCCATATGCCTATCTTACTTATGCCTACCTTATTTATGCCTATTTTTCTCATACCTGTCCCCCTTAATATGACTGTCCTCCGTATACCATATCTTCCTAACTCCAATCTTCCCTACGTATCTTTAACAAAATATTCCTTTTGGCTATCTTCTTTGGGCCTATTTCCCTTACGCCTATCTTCCCTGTGCCTATATTTCGTCTGCTTATCTTCCTTGTATACCTATCTATCTTTCTCAGTCCTTAAAAAACACACCACGTTACCTCAGCAGACCCCAACAACAAAGTAATAAATTATGGCCGACAAAACGATCACCTCAAAGTGCCACAACAACTATATGATTGATACCATTGTTATCTATGTATTCATGCTATTTTCCCCCTGTGTATTCTTCAGCGTAGTTCAAAGGGACAAGTAGGTTTCCGTGCCAAAAACAAACGGTAAATCTTGGTCCATTTCATGATGAAGGAGACACTTTAAAAGTGTATGATGTATAACGTTGCACATCTAAGTCTTTATGTTTTTCCCTTGAGCATTGTAGTTCAAAGAAGTAGACAGATTTTGATACCAAAACTATATAAATCCACCCACCCCCGTTGTGTATATGGTACATTTAATTCAAGTTATTTGTTGTCTTCAATTAGAAAGTATTATTTTCTTTTTACTCTGCACATCTACATCTCTGTGTTTTTCTCTTGAGCATTGTAGTTCAAAGTTGCAGACAGATTTTGATACCGAAACTATATAAATCCGTCCACCCCCGTTGTGTATATGGTACATTTAATGCAAGTTATTTGTGATTTTCATTTATTAAGTATTATTCCTTCTTGTCAGCGTTCTAGTCAATGATTCTAAAGAGTTTTTGTACTCTGATGTTTATCTCCGTAGTTATTGTACTGCGTACAATGAACCCGTCCTCGACAATAACTAAATTATTCAAACCACCCAACCGACTTGATAATGAAGGTAAATTTATAGTTGTTATTCTTCTAACGGTAATAAAAAGGGAGTGTTGTTGGGGTGTAGATTAGAAACAAGCTATATTTAAACAGTCATGCGTTCATGCTTCGCCGGCGGTAGTGTTTCACGCATGGGGTGTTTCTGGTGATTCGCATTATGGAAAGAGATAATATTTATTCATGGAAGGGAGGTAGAGTGTGATAGCAACAGCCCATTGCACATTATCACTATGCATATCATTATGCATCCAGCCTTCTGGGAAAGACTACGGTAATCCTGTATATTACAGAAACTAAATATAAGATAAGGACAATGTACAAAGTCATTCTTTTGAGGAGGGATTTCTATATACATGTAGTTAAGTCATCCCTATTGTTGTGAGTTCCCTATTCACATGGCACTCCTACAGCATCTGAATCATCACTATTTATACGTACATAACAATACACGGGTTCTTCCAAGTATGGCAATGCGTCATACTGATGTATACAAATAGCTGTGGTTTATTTTCGTCTTATGTGTGTGTTTTTATTGGTACCGCCAGAATTAATGGTACCTTTATGTCCGTTGCTTTTGTACTGTAAAAGTGCAGGAAGTATAAAATGGTGACGCAAATATGCTAAAATATATCTGTAGATGTCAATAGAATGACTTTTGTCAAATGTATACACATAGCTGTGGTTTATTTTCGTCCTCTATATGGGTTTTTATTGGTACCGTCAGAATTAATGGTACCTTTATGTTCGTATCTTTTGTACTGTAAAAGTGCAGGAAGTATAAAATGATGACGCAAATGTGGTAAAACATGTCTATAGATAATATAACTGTATGTCTATAGATAACATAACTGTTGCGTTATCCAGAATATTTATAACTTGCTACGTAAGCCCTACATTGAGCAGCTTTAAGGAGAAAATTACAATACCTGTACCTAACGCGTAAGCCTCTACTTAACAATTAAGCTGTATTTGAACTCCCGCTACTTTTAGAGTCCTGAATCTGGTTTAAGTCTGTTTATACGATGTTATGCAACATTTATATGATATCCTAACGCCGTACTACAGTAAAATCGCTTTATAACAGCTAGGCATTTTCTGCTTACAAATTAACCTGATATCTTTACACTTTTATATATTGGATTAATGTTTAATACTAGCAGAACGGCGTCAAATATAAGTGCTAAGTTTGTTTTATGTCTCAAACCCTTCGAATACTTTGGTAATAAACCCAACACGATAGCCAAACATGTCCATTGTGCCTTTCCTCCAGGCTTATTGAATAAATTGATTATCCCACCAAATCAAATTTCCGCAAGTATAGCGTCTACACTCAGCCCCCCGCGGTGTATTCTAACAATATTTCCCAGAAATAATATCCTAGAGTCATCTGAATATATCAAAAGTAAAGACAGCTTTTATATGTAACATTTGCTTTAGGGCGTTGTGAGCGAAAAGTGCGTTAATTGGCAGACAGTGGTAAGGAGACGTTTTACACTTATATAAGGTTTTTATGTCTATTCCATCCACGCGCGCTAGAATAGCGCCACAGGACAGCAATGCACGCATGTAAAAATAACCTTACCTGTTCAAACGAGCGGATGAAACAGTGAGATAACAATAAAAAAGAGAACGTCCAACCACCGCCAAGGGTTAAATAGAAGTCGTGTCCACATATTACCCTGTACAACATGATACACGTACTGCCCCGGGCAGTAGAGAATAAAAAAAACATACATAACAAAAGTGTACTCACGTGTGCCATCGAACCTCGTCGCTATTGTGTCCAGGAAAGTATTCTGTGGCGCTAGGAGCCCTTTCCTAGCCGGCATGCTTCTGTTTTCTAACCCTCGGGCGTTCTCTCTGTAGCAGTTGTACTTCTCTCTCTCAACTCAACTCCCTATGTTATACACGGGAGATAGGAGCGGTAAATCCAACGGGCGACGTACGGCAGAACGCTGCGGGGCGATATATTATTCTCTCCCGCCGGCTGGCAGGCTTAGACACGGCGGTGGCCGTGAACTCCCATACGGCGGGCTTCCTTTCCTCGATGCATCTGAAATTCCGGGATATTCCTGGACAGTAATTCTCTCTCCGTTGTCACCCCGACGCTGCTTGGAACAGGCTCTGCTGTAGTAGTATAGGGTTTATCCGTAGTCGGACTGGCGTCAGGGCTGTGGAGAGAAGAACGTACGTAGGTGAGACGGACGGGGGATTCACATCAAATGCTATTGTCATGCCGGGGCATCGTTTGTAGGGGTGACTCCCAAGGGGGGACGCTCATCCCAGCCGGCCTACTTTCAAACAGGGGGCTCCCGCGTCCTAACTCAGACCCTCTCGGTATACCCTACACACAGCAAAGTGCGTTAGCCGTAGAAACGCACCATCCTCGTGATGTGGACTGAGAGTGATGAGGTAAAGAAGGGATAGAACGTTTGTACCCGTCGGGGTAAGTGAGCGCAGGGTGCCGCCACCCCCCGCCGCTAGTGTACCGGTGCCAGCTCGCGCCCAGGACGGCCCGGAAAATAGATGAGACCAAGGCGGGGAGAGGAGGGCGGGAATCAGGCGTGGGCCACGTGACGTGAGTGATTACGCCACCCGAGAGTTAGGGGAGCGTGTCAGCGTTACGTGTCGCTGCGTCAGGTGAAATACTTAGCGTTCAAAGCTACAGAAACAACTTTTGAGAAGGAGGGAGAAGGTTAGAGGTGGTCGTAATACGCCTCACAATAGGCACTGGTAGCAAAAATCGTCTTATTTCCCTGCATAGTATTCGGTCAATGCTCCAGCAAGGCGAGGATAGAAAACATCCAGTGTTATTGTACACGTGTAAATATGCCTGTCCTTGGTGCTGAATTCTTCCATTGTTATTATACACATACAAACATACCTGTCCTTGGTGCTGAACACATCTAGAATATTTCTACAGACATAGATACCATCATAATACACTGCCGATGACAATCCACAAATTTCCCAAGTCTTTGAATTCCATTTTCAAGATTACATGCTACTTTTATACTAGCCTAGACGAATGATAGCTAATATACGAGTGTGTGTGTTTTGTGCGCGAGATAGGCCACGGTTCATCCAGCCATTATATAGATACTGCGGAGGAACAAATTCCTCAGAGACGGCGCAGTGATAGAAGATGAACTGGTGAGAACGGCTGGCGCGAAGCCGAACAAATTGTGAGTAACGTTCCTCTGACCGTGGAGCGACGCTGTCTGTGCGAACCTCCATTAAAAGCAGCTACAAATCAAACCCTATCGGAAGCACCGCGAACGAATGACGTGCTAACTTTCCTTCTGAGACCCTCCCTCCCGGCGTATCATCATCTACATCGTGCACATACACACACACAAACGGAGCCATCCCTATAATTAAAAGCACGATGATTATTTATGGCTTGTCATCGCGTGAAGCCACGCCAAATGACGTGGCTGCAATGCGCCTTTAGAAACGCTAGGTGGCGCACGTGAAAGATGCTTCGCAGCTTTGCGTTCTTCGGTGTTCAACATTGCGGCTTGCCGCAAACCACAATACCCAATGAGTGTTTATTTGCAGATTATTCATGAGGCTTTCCCATTTTAATGGCAGACTTCGATAATCATTAAATCTTTTCTGAGCATCATTTGTGATCGGGCAACCCCATCCGCACAATTGCAGTTTGAAGGAAAAGTAGACATCTTTACCTATAGCATCTCAAACCTACCCAATGCTCAAATTGAGCTTATTTGTTGGATTCAAAAGATTCGCTTCTAAAATGGATTATCTGTAAAGTATTACTATTGTAAAGATTCTTGTAATATAAACACACAAGTATTACAAGGGGTCAATAACCTGCATAATAACTTTTTGGGAAAGGACAAATAATTTCTATTTCAATGCAAATACGAAACTAACCATCCTATGATGTGAATTAGGTTAACGGTAACGCACTTTCGGATGGATGATTATAAAAGAAGAGTCTCAGGAGAATACAGATAATGGAGGGGCCGGTGAAGCGGCCATCTTGGGTGCATTGACCCAATTATATCACGCGAGGTCATTGACCTGTGGATCAGAAAGTTCCAAATAAGGACACGTCTGCTGCAGTACCTGTAAAAACCACGAGGGGACCCTTAATTGACCTATCTAATGCCTACCCACATACTCAATATCATCATATTCCTTTATTACATTTTTGAGTTAAGTTTCAAATAAGAACAGGTCCACTGCAGTTCCATGAATAACCACTAGGGGCCCCCACAAATTGACCTAAATTTTTGTCTTTCCAAGGCCTACCCATATAGTAAATATCATCATAATCCGTTGGTACATTCTTGAGTTCTGCCGGTTAAAATGTCCGGAAATACAAGGAAATACAAACACAGGCAATAGTGTAACCTAAGTATTCCTGATTCTACTTTTTACTTTTAGGTCAAAATGTTTAATTAACTGATAATTCTGTGAATTAGAGTTAAACTGCAACATCCAATAGCTTCCTCCGGAAAATACACTGTGATAGTTTCAACGTGCAGTACCTGCAATACATGCCTTTCTCCTGTATTGATATTGATACAGTGGCTCTTTGAGCTGAGCATGTTTTATCATCATAGGTAAACCACTTATGTTGCAAACCTGTGTGCATTTGGCTTTGGGCTTATCCCTTTGGCGTGCTGCATTCATCAAAACATTTGTATCCATCACCCTCCCCGCCTCGCGTCCCATAACTCCCCGGCATCTGGCCAGCCAACCATCATAAATAAATCAAGCGGCCATTTTCAGATGAACTTCGACAACGGCGCAGCGTTTTAACAAAGAACATTGTTCCGTCCAAAATCATGTCCAGATGGCGGGAGAGTTGGGCTAGCGCGGCGGTGATATGTCATAATGGCAGCCCCGATACCAGGGCTTTGTCTGGCATTGTGTAACAACTACCGCTGTTAGGGCGCCAACCAGCCAGCCTGGCGCTACGTATTGACAAACCGCCTTGCTATTGTGCTGGTGGATTGGTCCTGTAATTGTTTTATTGTATTTCTCATAGGCTGAAACTAGCCGAATTGGGAAATCCGTAATCGCTTTCTTTGAAGAAGTACGTGACACCTATGTCTTCGTTTTCAGGCCAACGCGTTTGTCACAAGCCTAGTCTTTACAACCAATTTCAGAGTGGCAAAACAAAACGTATTCTAGATAAGGAAATCTATTTGATAGTTACATTTACTGCCATTTCTTAGCAAATTTTTGTCATCATATTATACTTGAAGCGTTTCAAATAGCCCCAAAACAAGCTACGTACCACCATTAAATAGATATATAGAACCAGCCTAAGATACGAAACAAGCAACCATACACCCAGTGTTATACAGTATTATACGCAGGCAAACATACCTGTCCTTGCTGCTGAACACATTTATACAGTTTTATACACAGGCAACCATACTTGTCCTTGGTGTTGAACACAGTTATAGTGTTATACGCAGACAAACATACCTGTCCTTGGTGCTGAACACAGTTATACAGTGTTATACACAGACAACCATACCTGTCCTTGGTGCTGAACACAGTTATACAGTGTTATACGCAGGCAGACATACCTGTCCTTGCTGCTGAACACATTTATACAGTTTTATACATAGGCAACCATACTTGTCCTTGGTGTTGAACACAGTTATAGTGTTATACGCAGACAAACATACCTGTCCTTGGTGTTGGACACAGCTATACAGTGTTATACAGTGATATACGTAGGCAACCATACCTGTCCTTGGTGCTGAACACAGTTATACAGTGTTATACACAGACAAACATACCTGTCCTTGGTGCTGAACACAGTTATACAGTGTTATACGCACTGAACACATCCAGTGTTAGACAGTGTTATACGCAGGCAACTATACGTGTCCTCGGTTCTGAACTCATACAGTGGGAAACATACCTGTCCTTGGTGCTGAACACAGTTATACAGTATTATACGCAGGCAGACATACCTGTCCTTGGTTCTGAACACAGCTGTACAATGTTAAAATGTCATACGCAGGCAACCATACCTGTCCTTGGTGCTGAACACATGTACAGATATGCAGTGTTATGAACAGGCATCCATACCTGTCCTTGGCGCTGAACACATCCAGTGTTATACAGTATTATACGCAGGCAGACATACCTTTCCTTAGTGCTGAATGCAGTTATACAGTGTTAGGCAAGAAAACAAACACGCCAGGCTTCTAGTACCCTGAGATTTTCGCAAGTCAGTGTGAAGTCTTTGTAAACCGGATACGGGCATCGCAGAGGAAAACACAAGGGTCTCTTCCGTTTGTAATTTCTTTCAAACAGCGAAAACGTATTTTGTTTCCACACAGTTCCGGTGTAGTCTCAAGTATAATCAGGATCGTGTTACCCTATTTCCTGTAACGTTCAACTCATTTATTCCAGTATAAACTGTTATTCTATTGGATTAAAAACTTGTGAGTATAAAGAAAATCACTCATTCTAGATAAAGTATCATTTTGATAGGTTTCGAATGATTTGGAAGTTCTCAACATTTAACCATTAACCCAGAACGGAAAGGAGTGTGATTTTAGATGATGATTTTCTTCTCTAATTATTCTTTATTTTAAGTCATTGATGTTGTACTTTACTTTACCTTTCAAGCTATTGGACATGTGACTGTCATCATCAGTAGCTGAAGAAAGATGGTGGATGTCGTTTGAAAGCTTCTTCGCTTTAACGTTTGTAAGTCGTGTCTATCAGTTTGAATCCTTCTTGTTACGTATGGGGAAGATTCTGAATGTATGACGGGCTTCAGAGAAAATGGGACATACGTATAACGTAGTTTTAATGTGCTATAAACCTCAGTGCTGCTGAAACGGAACTGTTTGTCATTTTCATCCGACTACGTGATGATGGGTAATACAGATACATGGTTCAATTTAAAATGTGTGCATCTTCAGATTTAGCATAAGGCAGAGAAATAGTCCAATTTCCTTGCTACACCTCTTCTTGTGCCTTCCATCCAATCATATAGTGCTTAGCTGGTTGCTAAATTGATTCTGTTGCCAAATATTAGCTTCTAAATGGTTTCTGCAGAATGGTTTTAAAATTTGCTTCGAATTGTTCTACAGTGCATTTCCATACGCTTGTCTCATTTTCTTTTAATCTGAGCTATGTAGGATGATTTTCGTCTACTATACTGTTCATTTCGTTATATTGCATGGTATAAAACTAGGCCAATACTTGCCTTGTGATCTCAAAAGTCCCATATCGCACCAGCCTTCACCCCCAGACCACAGAGTACAGTACTAACTCTCATCATTAATATCACGGTCCTTGAGCAGGGCTTTTAAAACGGTTTAAAGTGTAGGGGAGTAGTCACGACGAGGATTACTATACTCGGAGC